TCTTCTCCCTCGTCTCTCTCCGCCGACAGAGATTAGCAAGTAGGTGAGAACGGGAACAGGTGAGCGTCACGTAGCGCCCAGAGAACCTGATCTGGAGAAGGCAGAGGAGAGGACCGGCAGCTTAGGAGAAGTCCCGGTACGCAAGAAAATGTCCCGGTACGCCAAAGAGTAAACTGTCGAGGTGCCGGTACTGCGTACCGGTGCGTACGGCCCACTTCAAGCACTGATTATCAGCAAAGTGTAGGCCTACTTGAAATATAAAAAGTAGGCTAAGTAAGATGATATATCACATGATTAAAATAGTTTATTTATAGTTACCAGTTACTTGACTAGTGGTTCCCAACCTAGGGGTCTGGCCACTCAAGTGGGTCACAAGATAAATCTGAGGGGTTGTGAGATGATTAATGGGGAAGGAAGAGTTGTGCTACACAAATCTGTTTTATTTTTTATTTTTTCCTTTTCTCTAATCTTTGGGGTTTATTGGTGAACTATTTTATAATTGTACCTATTCCAGCCTCAAATTGTTATTTAAATGAATGCTGTGTATGCAGAAAGATTTCATCCAGAATAAATACATCAGGCATTTTCAAGGTTTGAGGCTATGGGCCCAATTTATTTAGTTAATTTTGCTCAAGTCCTAGATGCCTAAGGGATCATGATTATATTCTTTTTGACAAACTTCAGACTACACCAAATACATAAAAAGAAGTCTGTCCTAAGGCATTCATTGTTTCTGACAATAAAATTACCCCAATACTTTATCTCTGAACTATCTCTTTAACCAAACTGCACACACTTAAGATATTCTATGTGATCTCCTTTTCATTTATAATTTAATATTTTTTCACTGAGCCTTCCCTGGAACAGTTTGTTCAAAGGTTTTCAAAGTGGGAGCCAGGCCTCCCACTTTGAAAACCTCTGAAATACACAAAACAAACGTCACATTGTTTTCTTAATGTTCTAATGAATAGTATGGTAAAGGCATGGGAAAGTACTTGATTATTTCCTTTAAAGGTAATACAATTTACAGCACTTAAAAGTACAAATTACTTCTCGAGAGGAAAAACGATTTGCTGACTCATTGACTTTTAAAGTTTATCGACTATAATTAAATTAAAAGACAATCTGGAAGACTTACCTTCCACAGCAAAGGTGGTGTTCAGCAGGAGGACGAGGCCCAGCAGGACCACTGCTGGCTTCATGCTGACTCACAGAAAATAACGCAATAATTTTAAACAAAAAACTTAAAAGGTGCAATTTTAATTCAGAAGAGAATTGTACGCTATTCACACCAACTACATTCAGGAGAGTTTGAGCTGAGTGCCCCACTTTGGGGTGCAGAATTGAGTGCAGATGATCAATAGATATTTTTTCAGAAGCTGTTGACCCCCCCCCACCGGTGTCTGTTTTCCTGATTGGTCAACACTCCGCTGTGATAATCATTAAACCGGGATGGCTGATCTCTGTCCTGTCTGTCCCAGAAACATCGTCCTAACATGATCATTTTAGGCCACAGATTGTACCCACTGGCTTTCCAGTCATCTGGGAAATTTAACATCCACTATCAGCTTTTTTGTTTGTTTGTTTGTTTTTTTTAAACAAGACAGGTAATTACAATAAATATTGCATTGATGGTCTTTTTAACTGAGTGCTTCTGCATTGTAAACCAGGACTACAAACTGCAAAAGTGTGCTATTGTCTCGTAAAGTCAATATATACTGTATTCTGGGAGAGTAACTTAGAGAGTAAGGGGAAAGGGTATCTGAGTTCAAACATTGCGTAAACAGGGCAGTCTTTTTCCTCTATTGATCTCTGGTGTAAAAGAAAATCAACCCTAAAGCAGACACAAGGCCTTCTTCCAAATTTAGCCCTGAAAACTAGAGTGGCGTATTAAAACATGAGATGCAACAAGAAAACTGTAGGATATTTTTAAAATCTGTATACTACTATTATTCTGGACTATGACCAACATGAGATTGTCTGACAAAAATTAATAATTGGATTCAGCACCATGGAGAGACGCATAGGCTGAAACCAGCACCTCACCACCAGGCAGATTGAAAGATGTTGTTGTTGTTGTTTTAAATAAAATACAAAAATGCTCTCTCAAAGAGAGGTGGTATTTTAGCTTTCCTCATTACTCTAAAAGTGAAGCATGTCTCGCCCAGTAGCACCAGTCCAACAGTTGGTAAACCAGTACAAACAATGAAGGAGGTTAGATGGGGTTTAAAAATGTATTTGTCTTCTGTGATAGTGTGAAAACTGCCTGTAAACCTGGTGAGGACAGATTATTAGGGCACGTGGACTTTGGTTTTCTGTGGAGCCTGTGTCAGTTAGTGACCTGGGTTGCTGCCATGTCTCCATTAGCTGTCAATTAATAAGCCCCACACTGAAAAACATAGAAATGAGTGTTGTATAATATTCCAAAGAATTGTTGTTTATTTTGAGATTCAGCAGCAAAGTGTAGTCATGTTTGTTTTTTTGGAGGACAAGTAGAATCAGAATCAGAATCAGCTTTATTGCCAGGTTATGTACATGTAGAAGGTGGATATGATATACAGGTACACATACACATACATGCATACATGTACACAGTGTGATGGAGCATAGTGCAAAGGATGCTGGAAAAAATAAATAAGACCTATGACCTTATGACCTGAGGTAGGTGTATTGGTATACAATATATACAATGACATAGTATAAACAGCACTGAAATAGAGAATGGTGAATAAATAAATAATTAGTGGAAACCAATAAACAGGTGGCTGATTAGAAGCAGCAGAACCCAAATTTCCTGACATCTGTGAAGCTCTCATTGTTTGATAATTCACTTGTGAAGCCTAAATACGACATTCATAAAAACATACAAAATATTGAAATTCAATTGATGGTTTATTTAATGGTCATTTATCCACATTTTATAAGACAATTTTACTCAATTATACTCTGTTACCCTAAACAATACAGTCCATTTTTTTAAGAGTTACATTTTACATTTACATTTACAACAGCACCAATGTACTGATTTAAAAAAAAATAGTCACTAACTTGTATACAAACAAACTTCATTCTCCATGCATATGAACATTTTAAATGCTGTTTGTGATTTGACATAAGCACTTGTTTGGGTTTAATATGGTTGAAGGTGTGCTTTATGACTTAATAGAAGCTATTTCTGGCCTTATCTCACATATGAAGTGCAGGAAACAATTATAAAACAGAGAGTTCTCAGTAGTTTCCACGTGCAAGATCGTAAAAAAAATACAGTGATATGTTTCTTACGTATATATTAAATAAGTTAACTGTTCTCACCCTGCTCTTTATTTACAGACTTATTATAACAACAGTTTAATTCATAACGGAAGTTATCACATTGCAGTTTTCATCCAGAGCAGGTCTAGACCATACTCGTGGTAATATTATTTACAGAGACCCAACAATTCCCTGGTATCTGAGTTCAAACATTGTGTAACCAGGGCAGTCTTTTTCCTCTATTGATCATTGGTGTAAAAAAACAACCCTATTGCAAACACAATTTAGCCCTGATAGCCCTGGCATATTAAAGAGAGAAAAATGTAGGATCTTTTTAAAAGTCCGTGGAATAACTGTTTTTTTACTATTATTATTTTGGACTATGACCAACGGGAGATTGTCTGACAGAAGTTAATAGATTCAGCACCATGGAGAGACGCAGAGACTGAAATCACCAGACAGAAAGAGTCTGCTGACAGTCTTCATCACTCTGAAAGTGAAGCATGTCTCGCACAGTAGCACCAGTCTAACAGCGGATAAACCAGTCCAAACAATGAAGGAAGTCAGAGGGGTTTAAAAATGTATTTGTCTTCTGTGATAGTGTGAAAACTGCCTGTATGCCTGGTGAGGACAGATTATTACGGCATGTGGACTTTGGTTGTCTGTGAAGCTTGTATCAGTTAGTGACCTGGCTTGCTGCCAAATCTCCATTGGCTGTCTATTAATAAGCCACAGACAGAAATGTCTTACTGCTGATGAAAATTGTGTTTCTGTTATATGAGTGATGTGCTTAGATTTAATATTGATATACTGATATTTGAGTCATTTCAGTGATTCTGAAAGGAACTGTCTCCATGTAAGACACACAAAGCTAAAAACTCCATAAAATCATTAAGTCAGAACAGAGATTTGTCCAAGATGTGACTAGATTGACGACACTCTGTAATTAAGGCACATAGAAACTGAAATAAAAAGCAAAAAAATATAAGTCACAGCTTTTATTACTTTGCACAAAACCCAGGTGGATACTGTAGTGTGTTAGCAAACATGATGAAACTTGTCCACAGGTTTGGAGGTGTTTTTTATTTGACTTGTTTTCACTTAACCCTCTGTAAAATGGCAAATCTGAGGTTTTTTCACTTTGGTTTCTGACTAAGCAAACAAGATATTGTGTTAATTAGGAGGTGCTGGTAGACAGATTTTGTAACCATTGACAGAGCCAGGCTAGCTGCTAAGCTAATTTAGCCAGCTTTATCAAACTATTCCTTTGAAGTGAGCCCATGTAATGGAAAATGTTTAACAGTAAAACATAGGGGAGAGAAATTAAATCAGCAAACTGACTCAGTAATATCAGTTACACAGCAATATAGCTAACATGTTAGCCACCATAAGCTACTGGTCATGCCTGTAGCGGCAAAACCTTTGAGTGTAGTGCATAAAACAAGGTTGCTTATTGATTAGGCTAACTAACACATGCCAGACAGACCTATTGCTCTGCTGTACTTACAATACAGAGTTAAAATGCTCTGTATCTTTACTTTGCAGATTTTGTGCACCTTTCGCAGACCCTAAGCAGCTACACGCACCTATTCGTTTCTTTCAGCTCAGTTGGTGCATGCACAGCACCTGACCTTTGGTTAAGAGCTCCTTAAGTTGATAAAACTATCTATTGTTTGGCAATCTTTCTCCCCATCTGTCATCCCTCCACCTCTCTCTACCTTTACTGCTACCTTTATTTCTTTCCCAATAGCTTAGTCTGTCTCTCTATCAAGGATTGCGATCTCTTTGGTGTTGAGTTAATGTTTGATATGTTACAAGAGATAGAAAGAGTAGATTGTGATCATTTTAAGTCTCATTACCTCAGATGTTCCCTGTGGAGCACATCTCTGCTTTCTCTCCAGCTTCACTTCTGCTTCACCCTTAGCTCACCTGCACTTGCTGTGTAGCTTAATTTTTACCTGTCTGCCTCTCTGTCTTTTCTTACCAGGGGCCACTTGGTGTTTATCTTGATCAGCTGTTTGTTCTGAGTTACCTGGGAGACTTCTGGATAGTTTTTTGCCACTGGGTTACCTGTCAGTTCTTCCAGGAGAATAATGGGTATTTGGTTGAAGTGGCTATGGTACCACAGAAACTACTTCATCATTATCTTCACTCCAATTGTACTCCTTCCCCTGCCTCTCATCAGCTTTACATCGGTGAGTGTGTGTGTGTGCTTGGAATTAATGTTTTTACACATCTGTGTTTTCCAGAGTCTAAAATATGTAATAGTTGTTGTTTGACTGTGGCTAAAGATATTTGTAAGTACATGTCAGAAAGATACATTATGGAAACAACAGCACTTATTCCTTATGCCTGGCTAATACTCTCCTGTTTTTTCATGTGGTTTTACATGTATGTCCTGAGCATCTGATATCATTTGAGAACAAGCTGTTGAATTAATCTTCAAAGTTTCAAACAGTTATTTCATAGTGGTACAAATAAATTAACAATCAAACTTCTGAAAGTTTCAGGTGGCTTTATAGTTGCAACTAGTAATTTGTCTCTAAAATTTCAAGAAACATTACTGTGCATGTGTCAGTAGCTCAATTGGTAAAATCAAGTAAATTTCACACTAGAGACAAAGTGTTTGATGTTTGTGGGTTTTAACTAACAAATACGTTTGCCTTCACAATTATTTGAACGATGCTACAATCAAATAATATCACATTATGGTTTAAATTTAACCCATAAAATAATTTTTAAAAAGTGAAAGGAAAATCAGACTGTTTTTCACTTTTAAGAATTAGAATTGAGTGGAAGTGGATTTTATGTGAAATGCGGTTGCCTGCAGCTATAAAAGTCAAACTGACAAAGGAAATATTGAGAATACGCATCTACACTATATCAGAGTCTAACATTACCTAACTTTATATTAACGTAATTATTCTTTGGCTTATGTGTAACCATTGAATGTCGGCTGCATGTATCACTCATTACGTCTCCAATCCAAATCACTTAATCCAAAAGAAAGATAATGTCTGTCTCCAGGGCCAAATTCCTAACATGATTACTAGAAACACAGTTCACCTTAAAAACCCTGTGAGTGACACAGGTTACCCATTATGTGTTCAAATGCTGCAACTGGACAACTTATTTCATCAGTATATTGATTTGCTTGATTTTTTTTATTTTTAAACTATTTACAAAGGCTTCATTACAACACAGAGACTTACAGTACCAACAAAGACACATTAAGATGGCTGCCTCCCGATGCAGTTTTGTAAGGGGTTATATGGCAGACTCTTTTTTTGGCTAGGAGTAGTGACTTCCTGGAGTCTTGTACTGCTACCTGTTGATTGCTTGGCAACTGCTCTTATATAAGAAATAGTTTTTTTGTACAAATTAAACAATACAACATTTTTATTAGTGTGCTTTAGAGGTACTGGTAGGCACATTTAGTTAAGACTACGCTTGGCTTAGGTGTGGTTTTGCTCACCTGTGAGTGTGCGTGCCCAATGTACAAGGCTGAGTCCTTACTGCAGCAGCCCTTTGCTCCGTCCCTTTGCTGCGTGTCGCCCCCCATTTCTCTCTCTATCCACTTTCCAATCCAATAAAGACTAAAAATGCCCCACAAATGGTAATAACAGTAATCCATACCATATGTATATGTGGGAAAAAAAGGACAACTTTGTTTCCTGTTGAGCGACAGACGTAACCTATTAAACAGCCTTCTTTATCAAGCCTAGAGTATAAAGTATGTAGCATAGTGTAATAATATTATACTATATGGACCCAGGTCACTCACTACTTAGCCAATGCCAATGTTAGCTAATCAATTTTAGAATAATCAGCCAAAGTTGCAACAGCAGTTGGGAACTATGCTAGGCTACAAGTTTAGACTGACAGCAGTAGCTGACGGTCTCATTTTATGATAGCGTTACAAGTATGTTATCTTCATCATCGTCATCATTGCATGGCACACACACTACCTCCCTGCGCTCTCCCTCAGTCCTTGTGTCCCTGCATGCTACTCCCTGCATACCGGTTCGACTATACCTTCATCCTGCTCACTCTGTTCCTAGGCTTCCTTGTCACACGTGCAGCAATTTTCTCCCCACCAGATCTTCGACAACTGTCACTTGATGGACTCCAGCTTCACATCAAGTCCTGCCCCTGCCTCTGCCTTTGACCGGCTAACCGTAACACCACCCTAACCCTAAATATCATCAATCTAACTCTGGTGGGGAAACAAATAATGCGTAAAACACCTCCTCCTCTGCCTGGCAGTGGCCTTGGCCAGCCACTGTTTCCTCGGCCAGCCACTGTTTCCTCCCTCCATGCTGCAGCAAACATATCTGTAATTTTTGCACATTTAGTGGCATCCACATCTTGATTCTTACCTTTTTTGGCCTACAACTTCTCCACACACTTCTTTTTGCATTTGCACCATCTTGACAACTCAGAAACAGAGAGGACAGCGGGGGAGAGGTGGGACCGGCCCTGTAAGAGATGAGACTGGGCCAGCAATACTTTATAATTTTTCAATAATTTTTTATATTAAAATTTTAAATATTGGCCCCAAGGTGCGCCAGCCTACCAGGAAAATGCCCAGTATGACAGATTACCAGTCCAGCGCTGCGCAATAGTAAAGAAGGTTATAGTTATAAATTATAGCAACAACAGTAACTCTTGCTGTATGCATGTATGTGTAATAAGTAATTTCATGAATGTGTTACAAAAATTAATATATCTTAAAATGTTTTATCTTACTTTATTTTCAATTAAATTAAATTCAATTTTATTTATATAGCGCCAAATCACAACAACAGTTATCTCATAGCGCTTTTCATAAAAGAGCAGGTCTAGACCGTATTCTGTGATGATATTTACAGAAGCCCAACAGTTCCCACCAAGAGCAAGCACTAGGCGACAGAGGCAAGGAAAAACTTCCTTTTAAGAGGCAGAAACCTCGAGCAGAACCATGGCTCAGGGTGGGCGGCCATCTGCCTCAACCGGTTGGGGGTGAAGGAGAGAGAGAGAGAGAGAGAGAGAGAGAGAGAGAGAGAGAGAGAGAGAGAGGGCAGGAGAGGAATAGAGACAAAAAGAGAGGGATGTAAGGAGAGAGAGAGGGGAGGGAGGCAGCCTACACAATATACACACAGAGGTACAGACAGTGAAGGTGATGTTGCTGTAGACTAAATGAAAAATGGTACAGATATTTATAATAGTGTTAATGGTAACAATCGTAATTTTGTGTTTTAAAAGTGCAAAAGTAGACACTCAAAGCTGCTGAGCTTTGTGGCAGTCAAACCTTTTGTGTCAGGCAGTTTAAACAGTCTTTATGAAACGTGATTTTACTGAGGACCCATAAAGAGTTATCTTCTGAGACGAGATTAAGGATTCCTGCTATCTGCATCTGTAAAATTGTATGGCCTTTTAAAGAGAGGCTGGAGATAAAACAAAGAACATGAAAGCTGAAATAGTGTATTTACTGTAAGTGTGTGCCTGTCTCTGCTTCTGTGTCTGTCTGTGCCAAACATCTTTATCTATCTAATCTTTACACATCTAAGCATATTCCAGATGTAAAATGACAAAATGCTCCACTGATGATGTGATGTTTGTCTATTTTCATAGAGAATTTAGCCTAAACAAGTGTGTGTGTGTGTGTGTGTTTACAGCAAGCGAGATGTGGTTATGCTATCATCCTCATGGCTCTGTACTGGTGTACAGAGTGTATGCCTCTGGCTGTGACTGCCCTACTGCCTGTTGTCCTCTTCCCTATGCTGGGCATCATGAAGGCTGGAGAGGTTCTGTCCTTATTTACACTTCTGTGCTTCATTATGTCATTATGCTTATGTTCTTATATTTGTCTTTGCATGGCCCCCAAGACCAGATCAAGTTCAGCAAGAAAACAGCTAAGGGACACCAGGAGAACAGGACCAAATAGAGTACAACAGAATAGAATTTGTCTTAGATAATGAACCACTGCATACTGAAAGGGGTGATTTTACCTTTCAGTCAGTTATTTTTAGGGGGCATCGTACCTTTACAGACATGAAAAAATCGGCTGCTCACAGTGTTTTACTTTTATTGCCCATAAATTGATGATACATTTCCTGTGTATTAGACTTGAGGTTCACAGGTTACAACAACAGTTGAACAACCTGTTGAATTTGTTTTATTTGATTCCTACGCTGAAGATATTCTCTGTGTGTGGTCTGTTTCAGGTGAGTATTGAATATCTGAAAGACTCTAACATGCTGTTCATCGGTGGCCTGTTGGTGGCCATCGCAGTGGAGCACTGGAGCCTTCATAAGCGCATCGCAATCCGAGTTTTGCTGCTGGTTGGTGTTCGTCCAGCCCTGTAAGAAAGCCTTGTGATAAAGCTCACCTGTGTAAACTACAGCAGGCAGCAGAAAGAAAGCTGTGTATAGATTCTCAATAGAGCCTGCAAGGATCTTTATAGTACTGACTTGTTAACTTCTTTCCACGTCACATTAAAATATGTCACAAATGCTCAGTTCAGCATTTTTCATGATAATGTGTGCGTCTTCAGGATGATAACATTTATGAATTTACACTGTACACTGTGATTCTTCCTCTGCAACAATCAGGAGCATCAACTGCAAAAAACATACATCTTAACAAGTTAAACTTAAGAAAAGCATTAGACTTGCAAATAGATAAAATACAAGCAAATAAGAAAGCAGCTTCATACAACACATGCGCAGCATTTGAAACACACACTGCAAAAACAGAAAACACAGCCAGATACAGAAATGGTGCAACTGGGCCTTCAAGACTCACATTTCCGAAAACAAAAAAGAAAGAAAATATTTTGAGTAAAAATGTTTGGGTGAAATTTGGGTGAAATTATTCAATTATTCATCCATTTCAGTTTCCCTTGTTTTGGGACCTTGGGAGAAAATAGTTTCAGCATATTGAAAAACAACAGAAGACAGACGCAATATTATTTTAGTACTGAATGACAACATTTTCATTTTTTGCATTGATAAATTACAGACTCTCATAAAATACAATTTCATTGCGATGTTACAGTAATTTTGCTTAATTTTTTGTTTTTGAAAAAACAGATGATGTTGTGAAGCTGCACGACAAAATGAATTTCAAAACATTTTTAAATAAATGTTAGCTGCTATATAACTCTTTGAATAAGATCTGATCATGACTACTACTATTCTCATTATCCCTATTATCATATTCACTCCTTTTACTACCCTCTCACACAGGTTAATGATGGGCTTCATGAGCGTCTCGTCCTTCCTGTCCATGTGGATCAGCAACACAGCCACCACGGCCATGATGCTGCCCATTGCCCATGCCGTGCTGCAGCAGCTGAAAGCCACAGAGGCTCGGGCAGACGAACAAGATTTCCAGGATGCAGCCGAGGACAACCCTGCATTTGAGCTTGAGATGAGAGAAACTAAAGAGGAAATAACAGGCATTAAACAGCCAGACACCAAGTGTCATCTGGAGAACAGTGCGGGTAAGTAGAAATGTCTGCTAGATAGATGAGTCTATGGTCTTCTGGACAGTAACCTGTCCAATAACTTGCACTTACTGAATTTCTTGGGCTCCAGATCAACATGAGTGTAGTCGAGAAGCAATGCAGGAGTCCAGGAGAAAAGCGATGGAGGCCAAGTATGAGCATCTGACCAAAGGGATGAGTCTGAGTGTGTGTTACTCTGCCAGCATCGGTGGCACGGCCACACTCACCGGCACGACCCCTAACCTTATCCTTAAGGGTCAAATGGACAAGTAAGGCTTTAATAAACAAAGGACAATAATATTAAAGATATGCAACGGCTGATTGTCCTGTTTGTATCTCTTTTCCTCCTCTTATCTCTCCATCTTATCTTTTGTGAAGGCTATTCCCTGGGAATGGTGATGTGATCAACTTTGCCAGCTGGTTCGGCTTTGCTTTTCCCAACATGGTGATCATGCTGGTGTTGACCTGGCTCTGGCTTCAGTTAATTTTCCTGGGCTTCAAGTAAGGCAACTTCAGCCTATAATATGTACAGTACAGATGTGAGCAATGAAGACAAGCATGTTTTCCCTCATACTCAGCATCATGTTTAAATGTTCAAACTGAAACTATTTGTGTGATCCAAAATTATTATAGGTCATTTTTTGTGTGTTTTTGGTGAACTGATCCTTTAAAGAGGAAGCTGTATTTATACTACAAAACACTTAAAACACACTATATAAATTCTTCAGCATTTTGGGAAATTTTTCCTTTCTGGCGGAAAGTCAGAATAGAATGTCCATTAAATATGAAGCTACAGTAAGAAGCCTGTTAGCCTAGCTTAGCACAAAGACTGGAAACGGGAAAACAGCTAGCATCTGTCTGAAGATAATAAAATTTAAATTACATTTACATTTACTCATTTGGCAGACGCTTTTATCCAAAGCAACTTACATTTGAGGAACAACATACAAGCATCAACAAAGCATCAACTACCATCTCCAAACACACTCATGTAATTAATGTTACTCACTGGTCAATAGGAGGTAAATGTGTGTGATGCTTTACAATGTGTCCAAGGGGGGTCATGTCTTTTATTGTTTTACAACTTGTGCCTGGCTGTACCAGGACATGATTGACTTCACAATAGATTGAGATTGAGTGTTCTCCAGAAACAACAAGAAAGACAACATTCCAGTTCCAGTGGTGAGATAGTGCTGACCCTGAGATTAGGATAAAAATTGCATGTGCTGAGACACTGCAACTCACTCGGAAGATACTCTCATGCGTGTGTCCCAGTGAGTTCCTTCTGCGGAAGACTTGAATAAAATTCACATAAAGTGTTTGCCTAAGCTATTTATTTGAAAACTCGAATTGCCATCACATAGCACATATCGCATCAATGGGGTAAATACCTAGGGAAAGAACCAAGTCCAGTTGTCCTTGATTTTAACCTTCGTTGGATAACTATGACCTGGATGACTGAGAATCTTCATAGACATCTAGGGAAAGAAGTAAAGAGTTAACAAAAAGTGCAATCAATACAGGATAATTGTAGGGGAAAGAAGAAGAAGAGCACATGAAGTGCATGTTAGATATTAGGAGTTAGACGTTTTATAAGAGAAAGTGTTCTCAGAAGAGATGAGTTTTCAAGAGCTTCTTGAAATTAGAGAGGGACGCCCCTGCTCTGATGGCGTGTGGTAGCTCGTTCCACCATCGTGGTGTCACAGATGAGAACAGCCGGGACTGGGATTGCTTTGTGTGTAGGGATGGCAGAGCCAGGCGGCGTTCGATGGAGGAGCGTAGTGGCCGAGAAAGAAGGAGTTTAGGTAGATAGCAGACCCAGTAGTCACTCTCTATGCAGCGTTAGTGATTTGAATTTGATTCGGGAGGCCGTGGGTAGCCAGTGGTGGTCACACAGTAATGGAGTGACATGAGTCCTTTTGTGCTGATCAAAAACCAGACGCGTTGCTGCATTCTGAACCATTTGTAGGGGTTTCACTGCACAAGCTGGAAGACCTACTAGAAAGGCATAGTCGAGGCGAGAGAAAACCATGTCCTGGACCAAAAGCTGGGTGGCATCCTTATTGAGGTATGGCCTGATTTTCCTTATGTTGTATAGAGCAAAGCGGCAGCGACATCAGCAACATGGTCTGAAAAGGACAGATGGTCAATCATGACTTGAATTCTGACAGAGCAGTCTCGCTGCTTCCCCGTTGCCAGTTTCTGAGTAAACTTAAGCTAACCAGCTGCAGAGTAGACGTGAGAGTGATATCAATGTTCTCATCCGACTCTGTCTAAAAAGCAGATGAGCATTTTTCCCTAAATGTCAAGATATTCCGTTAAGTGAAGAAATTGGAATAACTTACATGTACTTTATTTCCTGTGTATTATGAACAAGTTGCACACTGTCACTGCCTACTGGGACACTTGAATAGAAGGGAGCCACAGTTAATGCTATTAGTAACATGTGTGTTTCTTACCATGGCTAGTCAAATATCTGTGGTGATAAGAGCTATAAGGTATTTAATTACAGTTACACACACAGGCAGTAATCTGTAACGGGTTTCATTATTCATTCATCATTAACTATAAGCAATACCCACTTTAGTAAAGTTAGGAAAAGTAGCTGGACTAAAATCCACTGACTCCAGCTTAAGCGCGTTACGACTGCGCCACGGTTGCCTTATAGTCAATGCTTTTGAGTCCAAAAGACGCGGCCACAGTGCGTCTATTTTCAACGCTAGCCACGTAAAGCAGCACAGAGCAGATCAAACCAGGCAGGAAGTCAGACACAGAACAGGAGTCTGTGGAGTCTCCCGATCGTAAAACAACAATAAACACGGTTAAAACGGACACAAAAAGAAATCATTTAACTATGTAGCCTACTTAATCATAGTAGAAGCACAAAATGCAAACACTGATTACCAAATCAACAAATCTAAACAAAAAAAGGCAGGCAAAATGCTCTGATTCTGAAATGATCTTCGGAAATGCTGCCTAAAGTTCACGGAACGAAACGGGGTCATAGAGGGCTGTGAAGAAGGTAGCAGTAAACAATAAGTAAATAATGTGGGGCAGGCTGCACACTCCGCTGCTGAAACGCTTCTGAGACGCTTCCAGCGGACTTTGACGCAGGTGTTGTGCCAAGGTAGTTATCCCTGACAGAAAGTGTTTCCCCTGCCGCGGGAGCCCGCGTGCAAATAGCGGTGAAGGCGGACCTTCGACTTCACCAAAGTGAATGAAAAATATACCATGTGGATTGACTGTCACCTTTTTCATGTCACCTGTATCAACATCACTAATCAGTTTAACACTTTGCTCGCCTCAACAGTTATAACATCACCAGACTATCGCGAAATAAATGTTTGCTTTATGAGTGAAACTAAATGCTCGTCTTGTGTAGACATTCTCAGTTGAGTGCAATGAATAATACGAAGTTTGGTAACACATAACATAAGCCTATAAAAACGTTTATAAGTGCTAGCTTGCTCTACACAAACCTAGTTAATAAAACAATACTAAAACGATAGATTAAACAATCCACATGGTATATTTTTCATTCACTTTGATGAAGTCGAAGGTCCGCCTTCACCGCTGAATGTATGCGCGCTCCCACGGCAGGGGAAACACTTTCTGTCGGGCATAACTACCTTGGCACGACACCTGTCTATGGACGCATCAAAACCGCGGCATAACGCGCCGTAGCAGGAGTCAGTGGATTCCTATGGTCGAAAGAGCAGTAAAAAAGCACAAGCAATTATCAGGGACAAATCCAGGATACCATTTATTTTTGCTGCTGCTATCAGGTAAGTGATGTTGCACCATCAAGGCACACACCACTTGTTTTAAAGACAATTATAGACTTAAAAGTAATGAACTAACACATTTCAGTACAGGAACTCATTCTATATAATGACCACACCTTGAAAAAGTGCTGTAAATCCACGTTCGGCCTACCTTAAAGTTTAACAAGTTCTTCGAACGTAGTCCACGCTAATAAATCTTCAAACATTTCCTCGATTTGGTGACAAATCTGCAGCATCTTTGTACTTTGTACTTCTCTTCTCAGCCTGAAGGAGTCATTTGGCTGCGGCGTGAAAACCGACAGAGATAAGGAGGCGTATGCGGTAATGAAAGAGGAGTACAAAAAGCTGGGGCCCATGAAGTTTGCTGAAGGAGCGGTGCTCACGGTCTTTATACTGCTGGTGCTCCTGTGGTTTACTAGAGAGCCAGGCTTCATTCCCGGCTGGGCAGTGATCTTCCCTAAGGAGTGAGTTTCTTCACCTTCCTTCTAAATGAATAAGTATGGAAGCCCTGAGAAGCAAGTCAGAAACATTCTTGTAATCCATTTTTTTTGTCTAATCTAAATTGTTTTCTTGTGTTTGTGACTTAACAGTTGAACAAAACGTTTGGTCAGAATAATCTACACTGAACAAAATTATAAATGCAACACTTTTGATTTTGCCCCCATTCATCATGAGCTGAACTCAAAGATCTAAGACGTTCTCTATGAACACAAAAGGCCTATTTCTCTCAAATATTGTTCACAAATCTGTCAAAATCTGTTTTACTGAGCACTTCTCCTTTGCCGAGATAATCCATCCACTTCACAGGTTTGGCATATCAAGATGCTGACCAGACAGCATGGGTTTTGCACAGGTGTGCCTTAGGCTGGTCACAATAAAAGGCCACTCGAAAATGTGCAGTTAGATCACACAGCACAAAGCCACTGATGTCGCAGGTTTTGATGGAGCGTGCAATTGGCATGCTGACTGAAGGAATGTTCACCGGAGCTGTTGCCCGTGAATTGAATGTTCATTTCTCTACTATAAGCCGTCTCCAAAGGCGTCCATGACATCCAACCAGCCACACAACTGCAGACCACGTGTAACCACACCAGCCCAGGACCTCCACATCGAGCAGCTTCACCTCCAAGATCGTCTGAGACCAGCCACCCAGACAGCTGCTGCAACAATCGGTTTACATAATCAAAGAATTTCTACACAACTGTCAGGAACTGTCTCAGGGAAGCTCATCTGCATGCACGTCGTCCTCATCGGGGTCTCGACCTGAAAGCAGATTGTCGTCATAACCGACTTTAGTGGGCAAATGCTCACATTCGATGGCGTCTGGCACTTTGGAGAAGTGTTCTCTTCATGGATGAATCCCGGTTTTCACTGTACAGGGCAGATGGCAGACGGCGACACCAGACACTGACTAGTTGGATTATCTCGGCAAAGGAGAAGTGCTCACTAACACAGATTTTGACAGATTTGTGAACAATATTTGAGAGAAATACGCCTTTTGTGTACATAGAGAAAGTCTTAGATCTCATTAGATCTCTCTTCAGATCATGATGAATGGGGGCAAAAAAAAAGTGAAGATTTGATTTTATAATTTTGTTTAGTGTAAGTTCCTTTTTTTCCATTTGTGAAACAGGTGAAAATTACATACATACATTTTTGTCAAGTTTGTTTTGTTGTAATACTAATTTCATCTCCAAAAAAGGGTGAAGTGCACAATGTTTCAAATAGAACTAAAAGCATTATGCATTTACTCCTATAAAGAACAAGGGGTGGTGGTGGACTTCAGCCTCTTCTGGCTGAAACGAGAATGGAAAAAAGTCATAAACACAGGAAGAGAAAATAATTTACATCAGACTTACAAAAATGAATCACCAGATTCTTTTTTTTCTCACTTGCCTCTCAGGGCTTCATTAGATAAGTGTGGTGATGTTCTATATTTTTCTTACTAGTGCAGCACCCATTCAAAGGGGCTGTTGTGACACCTCCCTGCGCTTTTTAGATAGTGCTTGTTCACAATGTGTGTCTCACATTGGTCCTACACACAGCATTAATAACACAGCATTAATAACACTGAAACAACACAACAATGGCGGAGATCCTGCTATATTCTAGCTAGTGTGGCCTTGCATCAGATTTTTATTTTCATGGTATATTTCTCAAGAGAAACATTAACTTCTTTCATTACCTGTTTTGTCTCCATAAAAAAAGCAGTTGTATACACACTCCAAAGAGCTTCTTTAAACCTAACACTCCTATTTGGTGATTTTCAAAGTTCTTGGTATGAAGTTTCTGCACTGCCTATCCCAGAAATCCCTTGTTAATAAAGCAGTTAGCTTGCTTGAACACAATTTGTTTTCTATACACTATTATACTACTGTATATTCAGCACTTCCTTACAACGTCATAAAAACTTCAGCACATTCGTTTCTAACGCATATCAAACCTGCGTGATGACGATAACTCAGTTTCAGCAATTCACTACCTCATTGGACCGATGTTTTGTTAACCCATAGTCCTTCCTCTACTCTTCCACCTTGTGTCTCTTTAAACCCTGGTCCCCCAGTTAAATCTTTTGACCTCTTTATAAATGATGTAGCAGTCTTACATCAGTTCACACACATTTGTACTGTAACACCATGTGAAACTGAGCAGGAAACATTGCAGCAACATAAAGTTTAATAACGTTATCTTGTGTCCTTCAGGTTTGTGTCAGATGGAACCATCGCTATTTTTATGTCAATGCTCTTCTTCGTCATCCCATCCCAGCTGCCCAGTTATAGAGGCTACGGTTACAACGATGCAGGTGATATTTTAACCCTACTAATCACATTTACGGAGAAAAAAATCCTCGATAATACAATGCTTTAATGAAGGTTGTGTGACCTAAATTTGAGCTCAGCTGCGTATGACATTGCTCTTTTAAAGTAATTACTGTTTCATGTTCACATTTCATCTGGGTCTCATAGGTAAGATGGTGAAGTCTCCCCCCACTCTGCTGGATTGGCAGGTGGTCCACGAGCGAATGCCCTGGAACATCATCCTGCTGCTGGGAGGAGGCTTTGCTCTGGCTGCTGGCAGTGAGGTACGAACACTGTGTTTTCTCCTTTTAAGAAATCATATATTAGATTTCTGCTGTAGACTGTAGGCTCATGTGCTTATGTGCTATAACTAAAAAACTGGAGCCTCACGATATATTTGGTAGTTTAAAAGGAAAGGAAAAGTTAAAAGGTCTCTAAAAAAAGACATAATCAACAGAAAATCTAAAATAAAATGTCATGGTACCACCTACACTGTTTTATTTATTGAAGTGATTTCTGGGATAGGCAGCACTTAATAGCATTGACTAACACAAACTCCAGCTGAGGCAGGTGTGATAGATGATATTTTCTACCAACACTGTATCAGGAGACAATGGTAAAACAATGTGGAAATGTGAATGGACTCGCTCATACTGAACCTACAGAAAACTATTATCTGAATCAGCGCAGCTTCCCTTGGCTTTATGATTGTTTGCTGTCTGCCACTTTACTGTTTTGGTTCACTCTCATCACTCTCATACCATGGTTTTCAGACACACATGGCATCTGATTTCAGCAACAACAAAAAAACTCTAAAAGCTCAGCACCAACAGCACACTGACAAAGTTAGCAACTAGCTGATGAACATGGTGGAGCCAATAAATCAAGTTGATGTTGAGATATTTCAGTGGTGTGAACAGCTGGTGGCTCTATATGAGGAGTGAGGGAATCATCAAAGTCTAGAATGAATACTCTGGTGAACATGAATGTATGTAACAAAATAGTTGTTGAAATATTTCAGTCTGGACTAAATTGGTGGCGCGACCAACAGACATTTCCATCCCTAAATGCTTGCATGGCTAATAGCAATCTCACAAAGAATGAACATTTTCTATATTTACAGGAGTCAGGTCTGTCCAAGTGGTTGGGACAGAGCTTGGCACCTCTGCAGCAAATCCCCCCCTATGCCATCTCGTTGCTGCTCAGCCTGCTGGTGGCGACATTCACCGAGTGCTCCAGCAACACAGCCACCACCACCCTGTTCCTGCCCATACTGGCCTCTATGGTGAACAGAACTCAGTTGTCCACATGCACATACACACAGGTGTTAACACAGCGCTTCCATGTATTAAACTGTGTTGTGTTGGCGTGTTTCTTAGGCCACAGCTATTAAGATACACCCGCTATACGTCATGCTGCCCTGCACCATCGCTGCCTCTCTAGCCTTCATGCTGCCTGTGGCCACACCACCCAACGCCATCGCCTTCTCATTTGGAAGCCTCAAAGTCATCGACATGGTGAGAATTACGCACATATGTAGTCCGTAATACACAATCTACAAATATCATGTGAACAAGGTTTAGAGGTGAAGTATGATTGATATATATATCCTCAATATCTCCAGTAAAGGTATCAGTAAGTATTTATCATTTACAAATCTAAAATATGGATGAAATAATAAAGGATATTGGCTGAGAATTCAGTACCACATTGACAAGTGCAGACAATGAAGCTGTATTGAAAATGATTGCAAATAAAATCTGTGCCAGCTTAATTCATGTTGTTTCATATCAAATGTAGAGGCTAAAACAACCCTATTTTTAATTATTCATGATATTTTATACAATCAGAGCGTTTTCCTATATGAGACCATTTATAAGTTGTAAGAAATTAGATGAATAGTTGTCTCTCTTTGGCCTGTGAGGAGTAGTACCAGTTGAAAGTAGGAGGAGTTTCACTTTAATCTTTCACTGAAATCCAAAATTTCACTTTTAGCAGTTTGATGAATACAGGCCCTAATTTAAATGTGTTTATATATATATAATAACCATTTTCTTACCTTTTTTTAAGATCTACCCTTGTTCACCAGATATAAACTGTTTGTGAACATCAGCGTTCTTTTTAATACCACATTGAATGCAATTTCATTCCTGCTTCATAATCATAAAGTTCAAAGTCTGACAGAATGATGGACAACCAGTAGTCTAAGGATGACAGTGCCTAGAATTAATTATTATTAAATCACATTTCTAAGGATATGATTAATTTAATTAACGCAACCTGGACCCAGATCAGTGTCAGAAAATAGATTAGATAGACAAATTGCTACTTGCCCATTATGGGATGCAGTAGTGAAAGTATTTGCTATAGCCTCCTGCGTATGATCCACAGTTGCAACAATCACACTTTAATTTATAGGTGTTTAAACTAAATTAAATGTCATTCATTGCTGCAGATACCCTGTTCTTTTAACTTGACTCATACTGTATATATATCTGTTCCTTCAGGTGAAAGCTGGATTCATTCTGAATATCATTGGGATTTTGACCGTTAATTTAGGCATCAACACCTGGGGATACGCCATGTTTGACATGGGCACCTTTCCTGTGTGGATCAACGGTACAAATGACAAACCTTGATTATGGGAGGACTGAAATGGAAATTGAAAATGACACAGAATTGGATTTTAAAGCCCCTGAAAACTTGACTTGAAATCTAAAAGTAAAGTATTTAAAGTATATAAAGTATTTTTCTAAAATATATATTCATGACTTAATGAGCAATAGTCAAAATCTTTCTTTTAGGTATTATTTCTGAAGAGTTTAACAGCCAAACCCTCAGCTATTCTGCTGTATCTGTGGGTGCGGTTTGATTTGATTGACAGTTACAGTAACAACCAACCAGGTGTCATGCTCATTCAAATTTTGCTCAATCCTGATTGGTGCATGTAGATACATGACATCACCTTTTTCAGACTGAGTCCCACCCACTTAAGACCAGCACAAATGAACACACACAAATCCAGAAATTTCATGAATGAAGCAACATAAAATCATTCAAACTTTGAAAGAAAATATGTGTGCTCATGTAGGATAAACAAATCTACCTTGTATCACTAATAAGAAGCTGATTGAGAAAAAAGGTTTCGGGGCTTTTAAAGTAAAGAAGTGTTTAAGTTGCAGAAGCTTTGATTATTATAGATCAAGGGGAGTAAATAAAAGGTTGGTTACAGTAAATGTGGTAAATAAAATAAAAGTAAAGTATTGATGCACTACCACACACTCTGAATCAATGTTTTATTGTAAACAAACACTGTATGAACTTGTAGCGCTATCAGACTATTTGCTCTATGATAGACAGACTCTCCCCTGTTAGTGTTTAGTACTTCCTTGTGTCATTCCAGTGACGGAACAAAACAAAAATGTGTTCATTAGAAAGAACTGAGGTCATTTCTTTGCACACATTTCCCTGAATGTGATGTAATCTTATTTATCTATGCATCACTCACAAATGATGTAAAGGTGCACTATATGTTTGAGAGATTATTTTAAATAATGTGATTATTCTGAGTGATGTTGTTTACAGATAATGTGTAAATGAGCTCAATTAATTGTGTCAGTTAATTTAACTTATTACTGTGATATAATTTGACATGTTGGGAAAATATGCTTTTTGCTTATGCTTTTTGCTTAGCGTAAAGACTGGAAACAAGGGGAAACACCTAGCCGAGCTCTTTCCTTAGGTTAAAAAAAAACCATGCAGCTATCAGCAGCTCTAAAGCTCACTAATTAACAGTTTAATCTTGTTTGTTTAATCTGTACAACAACAGACATGTAAAAATTTTATGTCACAGATTATTTCTTGGTCAGGTGCAGTGACTTCCTGGATTCTTGTTGTTGCCTTGCCAAGAAATAGTCCAGCACATAACCCTCTCTAAAAACAAAACTTGACTTTTTATACTTGGGTTTTTGTTTAAACAAAAAAGATACAACTTTTTAATTAGTGAGCATTAGGAGTGCTGGTAGGCAAATCTTTTTACCTTCAGACAGAGCCAGGCCAGCTGTGTTCCCCTGTTTCCAGTCTTTATGCTAAGCTAACCATCGCTTAACACATATTTCACACTGATTGGACTGACATCAGTGGTATCAATCTTCCTGTCTAACTCTCATCAAGAAAGCGAGCGTATTTCCTAAAATGTGAATCTATTCCTTTAACAAATCCACTGCATTTAGCAAAATTAGAGGGGATGTGTACACAAAGTGCAGGTGACACTGAAAAATGTCCTATATCATCAGGAAGGCAAAGTACACAAATCAATAGCAGGAAGGTGTTACTATTATTGTGTACAGTGAGTACAGATAAAAAGGTTAGTTGAAGGATAACTTTGAGATAAAAGGCTGCCAACAGGATAGGATCATAGTCAAGTTCAGTATCTCATGGTTATTACTGTCATAAGTAATAAACTGAAAATGTAGAAGAGAGACAGAACGTCCCGGCAAGTAATGTGCATGAGTAATGTGTTTTTTTCCACATTACAACAGTTTGTATTCTAACAATAAAGCCTCATCCTGTGAACAAAGTGTACTCTCTCTTTCTTGCACAGTATTACCAACTGAGACACTGTGATATTTCAAAAATTATTTTATTTTTTATTTCACTTTTGTTCATTCGCATCAACATTTGAATTGTCAAAAATTTTACATCAGTTCAAAATGATTTGTACATGAGTTACAGTCAGTCATAAATACATCTGTTCTAGATATCTGTTACATTTTTGACATATCAAGTCCCCTCCTGTTCATTTCACTACATTTAGCACTTTTGCCACTTTGTCTCTCACCCTTATTCCCTGTAACTCACAATCAGCAACTTATGCAGGCCCAAAAAACAAACTCTTCTTGTATTGATGTGAACACACAAGTCCAAGTAATTTCCTTTTCAGCTGGCTGCAGTTCTTCACAGACCCCACTCTACAAGTAGGCTATATGCAGCATTTTTTCACACACACTTGATGTATCAGATGGCATGAGTTCGCTGCAAGTAGAACCACTAAAGTCACCAAACGCAGAAACTAAACTGATACGTTCAGACTGCAGGCCAAAGTGACCCAAATCTGATTTTTTTGCCCATGTGTGACTCAGATCTGATCTTTTTATGAGGCCAAGTCACATGGAATCTGATCTTTTCCAGTTACAGATCGGACCTTTAAATGCGACCTGAGTCTGTTCTGTTGTATTCATAAGTTGTATTAGTTTAGTTATTTAAATTGATCAAATGCGCAATCAAACTCTGTCCTTCACAGTTTGTGTAACGCCTCATAAAGTTGTTCTAACTGCATTCCTTAATGTCATTTCACTTTGATATCACTGATGTTGTTATTGTTGAATGTGATATGCAGATGGGAAGCAGGGCTGTAAAAATGAACACTGGATAGTGGCTGGGTGAAGCGCCTCTCCAGGGACGCTGTGCGCATTTATGCAGGAGCCACAGCAACATAAATTAATAATTAAAAATCTCCCAACACGGCGACAGGATCGAATGTTAATTCATGGTTTCAGGGATGGAAACGTTTAAATTACTGACAGCAGCCTCTCTAATCATCAAAGTAAATTCTTAAGGAAAACACTCATTCATCAATACAACACAATAGAGAAATCACCTGGAAAGCTACAGTGAAAACAGTGCAAACAGCTGCTGACGTCAAATTATTAGGCTATAATATGAACCAGAGCATTCAACACTGATCTGCTGTGTTTCATGGTATAATAATAATAGCGCCCAATATGTAGTCTGCACAGGTCATTCCAACAGTAGAGTCCTGATGACAATTTTATTTGGGATTACACGAGATACATTTTACTTGTCATTTCATGGACTGATGATGGACGCTCTCCTCATCAAGCTGAGGGCTGAAATTATCTCCTGTTTACAGACAAAAGCCGCACCACAAAAAAAGACGTTAGCCTACTGTATTTCTGTGTAGTGAATGATTAGGCTGCTGTAGTCTAATCTGTGACTGTTTCAACAGATTCTATTAAGTTTATTGGAACTTCAAAATGTTTCTGCGTATTAAAATGTTGACAGACATGTTTCTGGATTGCGAAGATATATGATCTGTAGCCTTTAGTGCCAAAAGCTTTGGATAAAAGCGTCAGCTAAATTAATAAATGTAAATTTAATGTAAAAGCTGGTCTGCTCATCTGACAGAGATCACAGCGGCTCAAACAGTGGGCAGATAATGCAGCTGTGCAATATGTCATCTTTAATTGAGGTCGCTTTTAAAATGACGGCTTCGAGGAAAGTAGCCTAGGCTGTATCTCATTTCATAATGCCTGTTTCCTCGACTCCTCGAGCTCGCATCTCGGGAGGGAGAGACGAGCCACATGGAGTCGAGGAGGGACATATTTGGGAAATGAGAAAGGCCCACAGTCCTGCTGTAGACGGAGCCGCAGTGCAGATGCGCAGATGCGTTGTTCAGCGCCAGAAACCGTAATGAAGGTGTGAACACTTTAATTCACATGTGACCAGTGAGAGGACAATGAAAAACGGGAGTCTCCCATGAGCTAACTAGAGCTAACCTCTGTTGCTCGCAGGGTTCGAGTTAGGTGGGAGCGCAGCTCCCATAAGGATGGTCTGAGCCCCCATGGAAGAAGTAAAGTCATGCATCTGTGGGGGTCTCTAATTCATTTATCAACAACCATTATATTGAATCACAAATAATGTTTTTTTCATTGTAATTAGTACATACTATTATTTACATTAAACAAGATAAACAGACTTAAATGAACACAAATTCCTAATGAACTACGCTGCGCATCGCATGACTTACAGGATGGCTGCACTTCTCCACCATCAGCCACTAGGCTTATCATGCGCACAGTTTTGACCGAACAGGTTGAGACTGCGACCCGCGAAAATGAACTTAGTTGTTTTGTAGTCTACTGTATTACTCTGTATTGACTGCAGCTTATTTGTTTAGTATTATTGCTTTTTTGATACATCCTCCAATTAGCCTAGTACAGCACAACAAATGATAATAGGCTAGGCTTACTGTGTGCCGGCGACAAGAAGTGCGCCAAATAATAACACTTTAATATTACCATTAAGGGTGGAATTGCGGTCTCTCCTTGAGCAATAGTCTTTGATGGCATTTTTCAGACGATTGAAACTTTTGGATTGCCTAGTGCAGTGTTTCCCAACCCTCTCCTGGAGGCACACTAGTCCTGCATGTTTTAGGCCGCGGACAGTTCACACTGGAGTCTGATATGGGCCACATTTAAACAACAATGTGAACTGTCAAACACAAAATATCGGAATTGGGCATTAAGGCCTGCAGACTGAACGTAGCTTTTGAGAGAGCAAACTATGTGCAGATATGCTGGGGAAAAAGAACGACTTGGATACTTTTTGAGTCAAGTTGTGTTTCAGCACACACACACACACACACACACACACACACACACACACACACAGAGCTAAGTGTGCATGTTACAGTTTAGGGGCATCCCAAGTCAGTTCAGTTACTGATTGATCTGTGTGATCTGTGTAATAAATGCCCTCAAATAACAAGAGATCAACAACTAAGGTCCTAACTCACTGGAATGTGTCAGAGTGAAAACAATGAAATGTCTGATCAGGCAGAAATCAGGTAACAGAGAAACAACACAAAGAATGAGAAAATGGACATAAGAGATGGACATTATAAGGACTGCCACAGAAACATTAGATTACACACAAACAAGGAAACATATGAGATTTAAGGGTGATTTGGTCTTTAAAATGACTTTACTGCTACATTCCCTAATCTCTGACTGAAAAATATAAACATTTACAAAGCCAAGTTTTCCTTTTCTTCTCTTATGAAGAGTTTCCAAACAGCAAAACCTTTGCTTGGACAAATACGGTAAGTACAACTTAAAGTTTTTAACAACTGTTTTTATCACCTAAACAAAGTAACACAAGGCTGGAAAAGTACAGCTTGTACACAGATGAAGAAGTACGTTCATGGTCATATCAGATCAGATCACCTTTACAAGGTTCCTATTGTTGGCTCGCTATGTTGTGCTTTGAGCAAAGACAATAAACACATATGCCCTGCAATTAACACAGGTCACATAACTCCAGAAATAAATAAGGAACAAAGGGATAAGGAAACAGGAAATAGGTCTGATAAATTCAAAATGACTAACTACGGCCTATTGCGTTAAACATGTGCTAATAGGTTTTGGAAATCTATTTGACCACCAGATGACCACATTATTGACATTTAAATTCTTATTTATTTTTACCAGACCAGTATTCATGCTTCAAACTGACATACTTACAGACACACACAAACAATCATACAAAATACAGAAACACACACACACACACACACTCCAAAAAGCAAGAGAACACACGCGTAATCTGATATTTCCTAAAAAGTTGCTTACTTGCTGGTTTATCATCTTACAAACACACTTTGTTGCAACTGCATGTGTCCATGTGGCTCTTTTTAAAGTTTTGACAAACTTAAACATGCTTACACACACACACACACACACACACACACACACACACACACACACACACACACACACACACAGATTGCACCCAACACATCTGTACGGCCGTTTTCTGGGTGGCATTCGCTCAGTGGGAGATAGACATACAGAAAGAGAGAAAGAAACAGAGAGAGAGAGCGGGAGACTACTGGATTGACAGGATATTAACCCCACCAGTGTACGCTGATCGTCCGTCAGGTCAGTCCCTACATCCACCTGGCTCTCGTGTTGGTGTGTCGTCTCTACGTCCCACCGTTGTACGAGTAGTCCGCCTTGTTGTGCATCACCAGCTTATTGTCCACAAAGTAGAAGCTGTCGGACTGTGTCTCATACGGGTGCAGGACCATCTCTCTGACTGTGAGCAGACACAAAAACATCATTACTGTTAGAGCACTGGTTCCCAACCTGGAGGCCCCAAGATAAATCTAATGGGGCCCCAAGATGATAAAAGGGACAAGAAAGAATAACACACACATGTTTTTTGAGCTTTGCTAGTGGCATGGCTGTGAGGATGGCATTGTTAGTCTGCTGGTCCACTATGCTGGTCCAGACAGAAATACCATAACAACCATTGGTCGGATTTCCATAAACTTTTGTCCAGACATTCATGATCCCCAGAGGATCTAGTGCCACCATAAGGTTGACATTTTTTCATACAAGTGAAATGTCTTAGCATATTTAGGATGGTTTGCAATGAAATCAGGTACACACATTCATGTCCTCCACAGTGTGAGTTGTAATTACTCCCTTAACATTTCATCTAATAATTTTTTTATTTGTCATTTTTTAGACTAAATCATTAATTGATAAAGTGAGAAAATAATTGCAAGTATTTGCTGTAGCAAATCAGCAGTATATAAAAGTTATTTCTAGGAGACAGGGCTGAACACAGCATTATGAGTTTATAATCATGTTGCCTGGCCCAGAGGACCTCCAAATTGTTTTTGTGTGTGTGTTTGTGTGTGTGTAGACTTACTGCTGTCCTCTGACAGAGGTGGGAATTCATAGATGTGTTCACAGGTGTTCTTGCTGCTGGGCATGCAGAAGCCGAACTCAAAGTCAAAACTCTTAAGCAACTTCTCTCTGAAATAATGTCTCTCGATCATCCTGAAGTTTTCTATCGGCATGTCTCCGACCGTGAACTCCACACTGCAAAGACGAAGCCAGCCAGACAGACAGACAGAAAAGGTGAGTGAGAAATAAAAGAGAGAGAGAGTGAAACAGAGGACACAGTAACCAGTCTGGTAATTGCTTCCTTGTAAATAAAGATTCACACATGTCATTCTCACTTACGTGGCTCCAACTTGCCGCAGTCGGAGAAAAGCGGGAGTGAACTGGTAACGGACAAATCTGCCGGCGTTTGGGTCAATGTCCCTCCTCTCTCCTGCTTTGTCTAAGTCGAGGATCAGTTTGTATGAAATGGAACAGAATAAAATGAAGCATATTTGTAGACATGGAAATTTCCCATTCTGTGGTTGACTTAAAACTAACATGTAACAACAAAAAGAATATCAAACAACCCAGAAAACCAGAGTATTTTATATTCCAGTTCATGTCTACTACCAAGAAGGAGAAAATTATGCATTATGCAGTTTGGTCGAGAATAATCACAGATTTATGTAACTAACTAAACTGAACACTGTTGAGGCATGAAACAGATCTTGTAGGCCTCTTGCTACAAGCCTATATTTTTTCCCTACATTTATTAATGTTTGGGACAATTAGCAGCATTAAAAGTATGCTGAATTAGCCATTAGCAGTTCCTGATTGTCATTCAACCCACAGATGTACAGACAACTATCACTGGTTTGCTTTGATACTGAAGAAATCATAAAAACGAGATAATGTGTCGCATCTGTCGCACCAACTGTTGACGATGATGGTAATAAGCAACTCAGCCAAAGTGACGTACCAAACTACAATAACGGTGAACTACCGGCATGTACGTCTTTATATCGGCTTCTTACTACATTGTGTTATAGACCATTAATTAAATGTTTAGGCCTATATAATGCTTAGAAATGCAAAATGATGTGTGATTTTATAGACTTGACAATGAATTACTTTAATCATTGGTGTGTGTTTTACACATGGTTTCACATGAGTTTAAAGTGGATGTGTGCAGCCTACAAAGCTGCTTTATAAAATGTTCAAGTATTAACTATTTTCACTGTACATAAAGGTTAAGTGAAACAAATAGAGTAGTTCAGTGACTCGCCTGTGGATGGAGGTTTGGTGATTTCAAACAGCACTGTGCCGGTTTCCATGTCTCTGATCTTGAACCTGGTGAAGTCAATGTTGTAAATGTTCTCGTTCGGGCTGCACAGATAATCTGAGAGAGTGAGAGAGTGGAGAGTTATAGATAGACACAAAGTACTTGAACCACGTAGCACTTGAATGAAAATACAAAGAATGCACTTTTTATTTAAAAAAGCAAGTACATTAATTCCTTGACCAATATGTCACATAACTGAGAGGGCTGCCTCATTTTGCAAATATATTATGTCACTGAATTTATGACTCAAAATAAATAAGTGTCATGCTCTTGGGTTTTTGTGTGGCATTTTTCTGTTATTTTGATTATGTCCATTTCTGTTTTCAAGGGTTTTGAGTTTTGAGCCTGTTGAGGACCTCGCAGGGCAGACTGAACAGGAAACCATTGCTGTAATCGAGACCGGTGGTGATGAAAGAGTGGATAAAATGATAGAAGGCAGATTTGGTGATGTTTTTGATGTGAGACTGGAATGAGAGGGTGGAGTACAGGATGACGCCCAGGTTGCGGACTTCACGGAATAAATACTGTAAAAGTGGCTATACTGACGATGGATGTCATTTTTAATATGCACTCAAACATTCACATACCCAAAAACCTAAACTAAAAACTTTAACACATTTAAAAAATAATATAATTTAAAATCAGTTTAGTGGAATAACTGAAGTAATTTTCAACTTTTGGATTGCTGAATTTTTGACACAAAATAACTGTATTACAGGAGCCATTTCATCACAAATATGATGGCATAGGCACACACACATACACAGTAAGAGAGTTATTTTTATTCCTCTAATCCTTCCTGCCCTCACCAGGCAGTGTCACTGCTTATTAGCGTTCCCCAGCAGAGCAAACACTTCCTGCTTACTGCCTGATCCGATGGTACTACTGGCCAGCCGGCAGGTGAAATTGCAACATCTCGCCATCATCTCCACTGAGGCTCCCTCACCACACGCACCAACAGCCACAAAGCTCACACAATGTCAGGGAATGAAAAATAAATTCTGAATGAATGAATTAATTGGTATGACATTGTTTCAGAGTGGATCACTGCAGCTCTGAGGAACCATGAGAGAAACACAAAGACAGTGCATGATTACATGCCATGTCCATCTATTAGCACCGCGTCTGTTTTTCCTTCTCATGTCATGTTAACAGATCTGCAGTTGTCTCGGCTTGTTCTGCGGTTTCTCTTCATGGACGTGGACTTCTTGTGTCTGCTGACAGTAAGCCGACCACATCTGTCTGCTCAGACGCAGCAGTAACAACAGTGGTGACATGTATTTCCATTAGTAGTCTGGTAAATCAGGGTGTATCTAGGAAGAGATGTAAGGGATGAATGAATGGATGTGTTTTATAAAATCATTGTGAAACCGGGCAGTCAGTGAACAAAATGTCAAAGAAAAAGCAGCAACTGTCAGAGCAGCTGTCATTTTCTCCGACCATTATGCAGGTCTGCGGCTATTCGTAGCTCCGACTCATCAGCGGTGATATCTTAATCATCATTAGGAAACAACAGAATGATCAGGGACTCATCAATAACTTTTCGAGACAGACTCTATAAAATGCTTCACAATTAAGCATAAAATGAAAAGATCATTAACAGGGATTTAAAATGACAGCTCCAATGTGAAAAAAGATAAACAGACACACAGGAAACTGTTTAGTGTGCAGGTGTTTGAGCAATGTGTTTCAGATTCCAAGCATTTCAGGTACAAACTCTGCTGGAAACAAAACAAAACCTGGTGGTATTTTATGTCTAGCAGCCACAATGACCAGGAAAATGACCGGATATCAGTAAACATTTCAGTAAGGTGCACCTTTAACAGTAGTTCCCCATGGTTTGTAAATGTACAGTGTAAATCAGATAATATGTATGTCAGGGCCATTCAGGTTGAAAGTGTTACTCACAGTGTTACCAAGCTGGAGCCTGACCGAGACCTCAGCCTCCGCCTGCTTCAGCTCTACTGGGGTGTTCTTTTGCTCTGTGTTGTGTGTACTTCTACATTAATCCCCCCCTGGAGGATTATTTACAACGCTCCCTGAATGTTATTTTTCACGTTTATGTATTCATGCTGGAGCATGCCCGAAGCAGAAATATATACTCCTAAGTCACAGCACGTTGTCAACTCCAGTTGGTGTACAGGGTGTGAGTGTTCCTGACAGAACTGATCTGATTCGTTGTGATGCCGTGATGCCTTTGCTCCTCTGTCTGAATGCTGAGGTCGGCTCTTCTATGGCGCATAGAGCGCTCCGTTTACTACCATACAACACCTGAAGATTCAGCAAGTAGTTAGAACATTAATAACAGTTCTGCATTAGTGTGCGTGTGTAGAGGGTACATCTGCACATGTGTAGAATAAACTGTACCACAGCTGGTGTTGCTCTCGTCCCTTTGTTAACCTAGTGCTAATAGTTACCTTTGAGACTCCTAATGAAGTCCCATGAGGACAATGTACTTGTGTGTGTGTGTGTGTGTCTGTGTGTGTGTGCTCTCACTAGCCTCACAAAACCTGAGGTGTTTGTAGCAAATTACATGCAGTCTGTTAACTCAGGTTACACACACACAAACACAGACACAGACACAGCGAGAGCCATCTGAGGTTAACTAGCTACAAGCAGCTGATGAAGCCACAAACAGACTCCAATTTATCACTGTCAGCTCTCCTTCTGTGCTGTGATAGTAAACACCTCCACACAGAACAAGCTTTCTGTGAGTGAGTGTGAGTGTGTGTGTGTGTGTGTGTAAGCATCGCATTGATTCAACCAAAAGGCAACCTCTGTGAATTAAAAGTGCAGTTAAAAGTGTGTTTGCTGCAGTCCAAGCTGACTGATACAACATACTAAGATAACCATAAACAGTCAAAGCTGCGCTTTGAGAGGTAACTCAGTAGCGGTCAAACATGGCTAGAAACAGGAAGCTTGCCTGTAAACCTCTTGTTCAAGCTTCAACATCCGCAGGTTTTAACAAAATCCAACAACAAATGTATCAACCCCCAGATCCAATATTGTATTCTCTTCTCTTGTCTTCTCTTATAATTACAATCCTATTCATGCACGTCATGTCTAATGGGTAGTAAAAATGTATTCTGGTGATAATACTACTGTTTGTGCCCAAGTCTGTCATGCAGTTCTGAATGTGTCAATAACCACTCCTCCACCACTATTTTAAGGTAGTATGGACCCTCATAAAGGCTAAACACAGCATCAACAGCAATTTAAACATTTTTAAGTTTATTAACTATTTCTTTCTGTAGTAGTTTTTATTGTTGGTGGTGGAGTCGGCCATTGCTGCCTAGGATTCACAAATAAGCACAAAGGATACACAAGCAGGAAACGATGCATGCATGTAGTCTATTGTTACCATTTGCAATTTTATCTCATTGACATCAGCCTCAGTGTTCATTTCTAATGTTGTATCAGAGCTGACGCCAACAAAGCATTTCCTACTGCTGCTCACTCACATTAAAAGCATTCATCTGGTGAAACACAGGGCAGCTTTATTGTGAAGGAGTCACAGGAAACTCACCTTGTTTGTCACTGACATTAGGATTGACTGCTATTGTTTAACACAAATGTAATTTTTGACCAGCTGATCAGTTTGAAATATATAACAGAGAGAAACAGAATGAGAGGGAGCAACCACAGTGAGCTGTTAGATGAAGAGCTGCAGGCGACACAGTAGTTGCACATCTCCAACTCTTCGGCAAGGTATTCAACTTCACTCTGTCCTGCTGTGTGTGTAGAGAAACAACTTGAAATGATTGACCAGTTGCTCTTCTGATGAATTTCTGACAAAGCAGCTGCTCACAAGTGTTTGCAATAGTATTTCACTGTTACCCACAACGTGAGTGTTGCCAAATCATCCAGAACCGAAATCTTTAAAATCTTAATATAATGCTGACAAAGCCAATGATGCTACCGCACTTTATGTAAGAGACCTAAAAGCTGCTGCAAGGTGGATTATTAACAGCTGAACTCATACACCCACATATAAGTAAGTAAAGTACTTTTAAAATAATGCTTTTTTTCTGTCATATATAAGCTGATATCCTTCCTGTCTGAGAAATCGGTAAAAACTGAAAAATGATTGGCCTTGCTCAAGAAAAATAGTGATAATCTAAATAATTTGCAGAAATCACCAGTTTACAACCAGTCAGCTCCACAGCAAATACTGTACCATGTGACCTAGATTTAACCAAAATAAACAGTTCTGTGCTTGTTTTAGCAGTTCACCCAGATAACGCTGGGACAGGACAGCTCTCAGGAACCTTCCTCCAGTATGACAGTTTAAGATTACTGCCACATGAAACCATATTAAAGGCTTATAAACACAACATGCATGCAGGCGAAAATTACAGCTGACACCGATAATGGGATCTATTTCAGTCTGTCCCACTTGAGCTGTGGATTGGTGGGTCTGTCCTCACTGGAAGTATCAAGTTACTAGTTTTCACCTCGCTGCAGGGGTTTTGGCTTTTTACATTTAATTAAACATGCAAAAGTGATGCTTTCATTTAAAGTAAGTGATGACATTTATACTGTGGGTTTATTAAGTAACATACATACACACAATGTGAAAGTAAAAGCAGTTTTCAGGCAGTTCAAAATTATTAGGGCTCATTGATACTGATTCTACATAAAAAAAAAACTGTTTTTATCTTTGTTTACTAATGCTAAATAGGGTGAAAACTGGTTCATTCAAATCCATAATACAAAAATGTGCATTAAAACAAAAACAAGACTTCAAAAATACAACTTACAGCACAAACTCTGCTGGAGGAACTATGGTGTAAAATCAGCAGCTCATTAGCATTTTTTTCCCCATTCATACCAGAAGCATTTTCTGAGCTGTTCAACAACAACGTTCGGATGCATAGGGACATTAATCAGAGTGAAAACAAATTTTCCTGTGAAATTTGGCAAAAAATGTAAATGACTGGCCTGAAAATGCTCAAGAAATGTATTGATAATCTAAATAATAATTACAGGCATAACGATGCACCCTTATGTGCAAACAATGCTAGGCTAAATTTATTTCTCTGTGATTAACTTTTAAACAGCCTGTTTTATATGTCATGTGACAACAGCCATGTCATGTGACAGAGGTGAGGTGGGAAATACTACTGTGACACATTTTAATTAGTAAACATCTAAGATTAGCTCCAGGGATAAATGAGTGTGACTGTTCGAGGAAAGAAGAGTCGGTGAACACAATGGGCCTCACACAGGAAGTATAAGTGATTTAAGAAAATTTGTAACTTTCACAAATGTTATCGTACTGGTCATGCACAGATTTGTCTGTATTTCTCTATAAGAGGGATGATATGACTTGAATCAGAGGTGTGTGTATGGATGAATCTTTAACACTGATATTCACTGTTGTCACTGAATGTAGCTTTCAGCAGCTGAGCTCTTTTCACTGGGTGTCTGAAAGCTCTGTTAGCCATTCAGTCGTGATACACAGTACGCTACTGCCTGGTTTAAAACTTAATGAAAGACCACCAAAACCCACATAAACAATCAGGAAGTGATAGCTCTGTTGCAATTAGACAGCTCCTGAGCTATTAACCTTACAAATTGTGCTTTCAGAGGGATAGTTTTGTACTGACCTGAGAATCAGCACGGAAGTGACGGTCATTTGAACGGTGTTGCGTTCACTTACTGATGTACATACTAGTGCATTTTAAACAGTAATTACAGAAAAAATGTACAAACTACATTGTTAGTCAATATGAATTTTCCAACTGAGCAATGATTTGAATCAGCAATTTGCTGCCGGAACAAGTGAATTTCCCCGGTGTGGGATCTTATCTTATTGCTAGAACAGGTGGCATTCATCCGGCTGAAACCAACAATTTATGAGAAGTCTGGGCAGTTAAGAGAGTTTGGTGAATATTCATACAAGAGTTCCTCATGTGGGAAAGTACGAGGTTTAGGATAAGAATACGACAATGTTCTCGCATTCAGTTTCAATGTGTGTTTGTGTTTCAGAACAGCGATTAACACCCACCACTCACAGGTTTGTTTCTGTAGTACGTTATTTTTGCCAGTGTGGCTTGGCATGAACATTTCTCCCACATGAGCTACAAGGTTCGCTTCACCTCAGCTCAGTGAGTGCTTCCCTACCATATACACACACAACAGCCATGCAGCCAGCTCCTCTACTACTGGACCTCTGCCACTTCATGGAGCCCTCTGTCCTGTTAGCATTGTAACCACAAATTTTGTCCCCTGCTCTCTTGCTCACCTCACAGCGGCAGTCAGGGCTGTAAGTAATAGGTCAGACTGGAGAGCATCTCATGTGAAAAGACATACAGTTGATTTCCTCTAATTGATCTAGATGAGAGTCCTTAAACTCCCAAACAATTAGGCCTACTTCTCTTTGCAACGTGACAATCAGGACGCGGCTGTAAACACACATTATGAAAGACAAGAAAGCAGAAGACGATACTGGTGTTAAAAGGATTATGCTGAAAATCAAATTCGTCCGGTCAGTTTACCAGATAGATTCATATTTTTAGATTAATCTGAAAAACAATTAGAGCCACCATTAATTCACATTTATTTATCTATGTATATATGTTTGATGTATTTGATTTCTTTATTTGCAGTATCTTTGACAATAAATAAATAAATTTCAGAGATTTCGGTTTTAGGCTTTAAAAACATTCAGCATTGGCCAAACTCTACAGAATGCAGAATGTTACAGTAAAACTCAATGATATGACCTAAAAGGGAAACTGAAACATCATTACAACAGATCCTGCAGATAAAAAAATGCAGGAGATTGTTCATCAACTTAAATGTTTTTTTTTTAATTAATGTGATGTGTTGATATAGAAAATTAGCCACACTAGTGACATCTACCGTGACACATTCATTTTCTGATTTCATACTAAAGTGCATTTGAATGATTGTGCGATCACTTGTGAACTACATAGTCAGTGACTATGAATCTTTGAACAAAATTGAGTTCTCTCATTCATGCCTGACCATCGTGTCCCCTTGACCGTCTCTCAGTGGACTGCTTCACTTTAGCAAGATGTTTTTCTTTATTTCTGTCATGGTACGGCTTTGTGATGACGCAGCGTTGACAAACTCTCATTATTTCAAGGTCTCCTAACATCACTGCTGACACTACAAAATGTTAGCATGCCAACATGCTAAAGTAAAGTAAGTAAGACTTGGAAGGGAATTTTACGGCTAAAAACATTAGCATGTTAACATTCTCAGTGTGAGCATGTTAATGATCTCATGTTGGCATTTAGGTCAGTGTTAGCTTAGTGTTTCTGCTGTTTCCCCCCTTTTGTTTCCTGTCTTTCCCCTGTCTGTCTTCTCTTTCTGTGTGCGTGTTGTCTGGGCATGGCGTGACGGTCTCTCTCCCTGGCTGTTCAAAAACATGCACACCTGTGATGCAGTAACGAAGACCTGCATAATATTTGGCTCTTCATTCGGCCATTCACCTTTGTGGTTTTCACGCTACAGCCAACTTCTGAGTCTCGTCCAGTGTTTTACTCATTTTGCCTGACTCTATTTTTGCTTGTGCCTCAGGTTTTTTCCCCCGTGAGATTTCTTAGTCTGCCTCCTGCAGCGTCTTGCCTCTTTTTTTAGCCACCTAAACAGTTCACACCACCTGCCTGCCTTTTCCCAAGTCTGCAATCAAGAAACCTCACATTTGTGAAGTTGTAAATAAACCTGTTTCCTTTCCTATGTAACACTCTGTGCCCGAGTTCAGCCTCGCAGAGTATCTAGCATGGCTGTACACTCTAATTCCCGTTTTTCACAAAAACTGCTTCATGTTTCGGAAAAGTTGTGCTGGAAGTCAAATCCTTATGCCTAAATGTGGAGACGCTTTTATTCATTTTTGCAGCTCCAAGGGATTATACTTAGCAGCCCAAAAGTTACATTACATCATTCATTTACATTTATTCATTTAGCTGACGCTTTTATCCAACAATTGCTATAAATGTCAGAGGTCACATGCCTTCTGGAGCAACTAGGAGTTAAGTGTCTTGCTCAGGGATACATTGGTGGATGTGTCACAGTGGGGAATTGAACCCAGGTCTCTCACACCAAAGGCAGTCAACATATCCTCATCACCTGGATTTTCTGTTAAACATCTCAATCTTTTACTGCAAAGTCAACTTACATTAAAAAAAAAAAAAACTCTTGAAAGCAGCAAGTTTTTATATTTAGACATTAATATACAAAAAACAACACTTTAATCAGTATAGATGACGCATGGTCCCATGGTGCTAAAGAGAGACTATTGGATTTTCATTGCCAAAATCTAAGTAAAAAAACTGAAATCACAGGCTGATCCAACCTGCGTGACTTTCATCACGGCAACTCATAATGTGACTCAGCAGTATGTATGGCTAACACGTGCCTGTATGCACTCCTGGCAATGTCAGTGCATGCTACTGATGAAACGGCGGACAGTGTCCTGGGGGATCTCCTCCCAGACTTGGATCAGGGCATCAATGGGCTCCTCAACAGTCTGTTGTGCTACTTGGCGGTGTTGGATACACCAATACATAACGTCCCCATGGTTTTCAATTGGATTCAACCTGAGGACCAGTTAAATACTTCAATGCCTTCGTCATCCAGAAACTGCCTACACACTCAGGGCACATGAGTTCTGCGTGACCTTCCAAAGATGTGCCTCCCCAGACCATCGCTGACCCACTGCCAAACCAGTCATGCTG